TTCATTATGAAGAATTGATTAATATTCATAATTTTTAGTTAATTAAATAAAAGGAGATTGTCCTATTATCCATTTAACAGATCTATGAGATAAAATGCACTCAGAATTAGATCAATTGAAATTGAGTTTCTAATTAGTTATTAAATTAACAAATTCATTGATTTTCCATGCTTTCTTCATTATTAATTGTCGTGCATGATAATTGAAAATACTCATAAAGAAAATTATTATTGCATAATCATTAGTTCTAAATAAAATTAGAATCAGTGATTAACTATATGGTCAAATATTAATCCATGAAAAGATAAAATGAAATAAAAGATTAAAGAACTTAAAGGTAAAACCAAACTCCTAGGTCAATTCATAATTGGTTAATCTTCTGAGTGCTCGTTGAATTTGTTTCTCTTTGCTTTCCTTTCATTTTAATATTATTTATTTTAAATTACAATCCTATTCATTTTTTGATTGGTCTCAGTAATCATAGGTAAAACGAATCTAGTACTTGTTAGAATAGTTTCTTTGATGAGTATATCAGCTCGAAGGTTAAAACTTAATAATTTGGAGTCTCACCATCCTTGACCCTTAGTTTGGATGCGACATAAAAGGAGAGAAAACAAGGGAGAGGATAAAATTTTAAAAATTGAAATGAAGATAAAAGCTCAAAAGGAAATTTTGTTTATTGACTTTTCTTTCCCTTCAACATTGTCTTCAACCAACCAATAGAGATTTTCAAATTTCACTATTTTTTCTTTTTATGCTCTTTCTCTTCTGCCATTGGGCGAACATGGAAACCATTGTAGGTCTGTTGTTATTTGTTAATAATACCATAAAACAATTTTCAAGAAACAGCTGCATCCCCACAGTCAAACAGTACCTGAAAAACCCACTGCCTCTGTTTCATTCCATCTACGTTAATTTATTGTTATATCATGAATTAATTTGATTAAATTAGAGATGTACTTTTGTCGCCATAATTTCCCTCATGTATTAACATATGTCAATATTGTGGAAATACAACAAAATAACAATACAAACTAACACACAACTAACCGTATGAAGGCTGCGTAGTTAGCATAGACACTTCGGCGCATCTCCTCAGCAGAAGCTTTCTTCAAGTCTACTAAATATGTGCATAATTGCTTAATTTCCTGAAAAAACATAGTAAAATTTCCATAATTGCAACAGACAATACGAAGAACAAGAAAACTTTTCTCTGCAAGAAGTGAACAAAAAATATCAAATAATAGGTTTCACCACTATTGGCATTACTTGTGCTCCTAGATTATTTTTACATATGATTAGCCCATCAAATCCATTTTGCAACTGTAAGTCTTAGATAGACGCTGAATAATGGAGAGGCATGTTGCTAACCATATAGAGCATAACAAAGGTAGGAAATAAACTATTACGAATTTCCCCTTTTCAGTCAGTAGAATGAGTCAATTATCAATAACTCAATCTCTTATTTCTATGAATAACAGGATTGCCAAAGGATATCATATGTTCCAAGGGAGAGACATAACTCCAATAGAAAAGAAAGCTTCTCTCTTAACTTCCTTGATTTTAGGAGTGGACTCTCCTCTGGGTTAAGAAATGCAATTTAAATGTTGTTATCAAGAAGATGAAAAATAAAAAATGAAGGATGGGGGTAAAAGCTTAATGTATTTAAATCCAACCGGTAGAATGATCCTCATATGCCTCATAACAAGCATCATGTAGGTGAGGTTAAGCTTATCAAATAAACATCATGTCCACAATATGCCATACTAGCATGATTTTACGGCATAAACAAGACTAGCAATTAGCAAAAGAGAGACAAATCATTTGCCAACTTTTCATTGTACATTATTAACTTTTTCTGCTTTTAATTATTTCAAAGGACAACATGAATAAGCTAATTCGAATGCATATATTTGTTTACGCGTGTTTTGGTTGAGAACTCGGCGATTATTCGTTTTGGATCTCTGAAACTACGCTTAGCGTGCGTTTGAAACGGGTGAATTTGAAAAGTAGGTGGGAATTCAATACTCCATTGTTGGAGACACAGATTCAGAAAATAAATTCATCAGTTCAACATTCTATGACAGAAAATGGCTCTTCCCGCAGAGGGAAAGGTAACAAGGAGCATGAAAACACTAAAGTCCATCTAAAAACTTGTGGTTTATTGGTATCTCGTTATGAAACAGCAAAGCAGAAGCAAAAGTGAAAGATGAGAAGAAGAAAAAACGATATGATATGGATCATTGAATATACAATTTGGAGTAAAAGGAACCTTGTCGTTGAGGGAGCAATTGGACTGAACATAAGCCTCAGCGTCGAATTTATCAGACTTGAACGGATTGAGACCTTCTTCAAGTTTAGGTCCGTTCTCCTTCGCACTAACCGGCGTCCCTCTGGACCGAGAAGTCTTCCCCGTGGCCATATTTGTCTGAGATCACCAATCAGCAACCACCAACTTTAGGGCTCAATTGAAAAGGTAGATCTACAAACAGAGTGAGTGAAGAAGAAAATGCACCATCAAATGCTTCCTCAACTCAGCAGCGCGTAGAAAGAGAGAAGACGCTGTTTCAATTTCTCTCTGATCCCTAAGGAAGCGGAGACGGTAAGAGTTAAGAGCTATGAGAGAGAATGTTGCCAGCACACCCTCTTCTTACTTTTCTTCAACTGTTTCATCTCTTGTTTCCTAATAATTAATTAAAAATTTACTTTTCGCTCTAACTTGTTCAACTAATGAGATAACTTGTTTCTACAAACATTTTTTTCTTTGTTTTTTACCTATGTATGACGGATCCTTTGCACCAAAACTGGATATTAAAAAAAAATCAACTAAGGAAAGATACTCGATAACCATGTGATCATGGTTTATTTACCCTGTGCTTATGAAGTTGATAATCATGGACGCTTTTTACTTCTTTTTTTAACATATTGGGAATGAAATTTTGTATTCAGGAACACAACAAGGATTCATTGCTTGCACAAATGTAAACACAGGGATCGCGAGATGTCAGAAATATGGGGGCGAAATTATGCAAGATTTCTTTCATTAACGTGAGATTTACCATTAAACATGTCTCGTGAAATTTCATATGGTTTTATTGTCACAGAGATATTTTCGATTTTTTTCTATTTTATGATATTATTTTATATGTTGCTTAGCGCCTACCCATTGCTTGCATGAGCCATTAATATTTGGATTTCTTCGGCAATTTTTGATGAAAACTTCATTTACATTTTAAAATCATTTTTTACAAATATTTAATTTATTAATTTACGTTTCAACTAACAATGTTTCATAATTATTTCGTATTGTTTGACATTGATATAGAGAATAAAATGAGATAAAACATATTATACGAGTTCTATTCTATATTTGCATTTTTTTCAAAAATATAATATAAAAAATGGAACAAAATATATTTCATTTCCTTTTATCCATTTGCCAAACGCTACCCAAAATATCAAATTAAAGGATCAGTCAACGACAGCACCTATGCAAGGCTTTTTATTTTTAAGTGGGGGAAGGTTATATTAGTAACAAAATAGTAGGATAATAAAGCACATGCAAGAGGGTACCTGAACACATCATAGACAAAATCACAGAATAATCAATGTTAGCCATTTCATCGTTCGAGAAAATCTAGCTGGCTATTTGAACAAGTCTTTTAATTTATACATATCTCCTTACCTTCTACCTTTCACATCATTATGAACCTCCTGATTCTCTTGCTCGTTCAATTTAAAGGAAAAAAAATATTCTTTTTTTTCTTTAAAAAAATGATAATACTTCATAATTCTATGACCAGCATTTGATCTTTACATGAAGCAAAGTGGTTTATATATAAAATCTTTTTAAATGAATTCATATCTGAGGTGTAAAATAAGAACTAAGTTATAATACGTAAAAATTACAATAAATTTTACAGTTAATATTTCAGTCTTACTAATAGGTTCAACACTAGTTAAAGAATTAATAAAAACAATTATGAGAATATAATATAAATTATGATGATAAAAGATTAATAACAGTTTTTAATAATTCTTTTTAATTTCTTAAATAATGTTCGCAAGACATTCATTGATTTTAAAAACAAGGATATGGTTGGAATTTTTCTTGTCGTTATTTTACTTAGACAAGATCAGATTCGAGCCAACCGTCAACCTCAATACCCGTTCAACATGCAGGCAGAGAACGCTCGCCGAGGAATCCTAATACTCCGTTTAAAGCGTTCGTTTGAACGGATGAGGTTAAAAAACGACATTAGCATTAGAGAAAAGCACCATAGCAAGTGCTTCCCATTCCCTGGTCGGGAAGTTTTGTTATTGGATCGATTGTTGTCACTTTCCTTCTATTGTAAAATGTTCAAGAAAGGAACCACTTCTCCAATTGGCAATTGAATAGCTGTAAGATGGAGTACACATTAGTGCCATTTGGCGACACCTAACCATCGTCAGCCAGATGTACCAGCGAACCGCTTAAAATGACATTCTAACCACCAAACTGATGTGTGAAAAGACAATCAGCTTGACAGGTGTACATCATACTCTTCTATGATATCCAAACTACAGGAATTACATCATTTGAAAGTTCCATTTGCATTTCTGTATTAAAAATGAACCTTGGGGCATTAAGGCTTTCTGACTATGAGGCACCGATATTTGAATTTTGCTCATGTGTTGCTTCATCCTCAAATATCATCCAAAGGTCATGTTTAGAATCTTGCCTACACGAGTTTGCGAGTGACAACGCATCAAACATGCATCTGGAGCCCAGGCTTGTAATTCTATTATTACACATTTAAAGATAGGCCACTTTGAATTGTAAAAGATAATAATAAAATTTCTCTCTTATTAAAAATAACTTTTTAATTTTTTAAAAATTCTTAGAAGTTCTCTCATTTATCGATTTAAAAAGATAAATTATTTTTAACCGAGAGAAATTTTATTCTGTTGAATTCACCAAACTTATTGTAGGAAGAGATGTTGTCATTTAACTGCTTTCATAAATTTATGACCCTTCTTAACACTGTTGGGCAGCTTTTTCATTTCAGGACATCAAAGCAGACTGAGTTACACAGCCAGTCGTCATTGAGTTCAAAATCATATGTTTAAACTTTGATTATTACAAGATTAACCATATGCAAATTCAAAATCCACTGCATGTGCCAATTCATGGAAAGGAAAACAAAGGAATTAAACATAGAAAACGGCAGAAAGGTTCAAAATGACAATTAACATCCATATCTCAAAGATTTGGCCGTTCATAGCTTCCAACTATTCCGAATCAATGCTCCGGGGCATCTGAACGAATAGCTGATAAATAAATAATAACACTTGAATCAGAATACAACAAATATAAAACTACATGAACATGATGCTAACTGCAAATCAAAACAGCTATTGTGAACAATATATGTAACTATAATACCCATAGTCACTTCAAAACAAGAAAGAGGACCCTGTGGTAAAAATTCCCCACTAATCCCTATCATTGGCAACATTTGAGGGGACTAAATTTGATAGACAAATATATGTGTAACCACATGCAATAAATCTTGTTGGAACAAAGTAAAATATAGCAGTTAAGCAATGCACATACACAGAATTAAGACAACAAACCACATCAAGCATGTGAAGAGAAGGGGGTGTAGATCTAATAAGATAAATTGGAGATGGCCAATTTAGGGTTGTATACTTTGTCTAATGAGAGAATCGAATCCAATACTGGACGGATAATGAATCGATTAATGATGAGAAAATGCAATTGAATAGCAATAAGATCAAAATGGGAATACTTGGTTTTTGAGGCTTGCCGTCGACCCATTTGGAGAGTGAAAAATAGACCTTCTCGCGAGAGAGGGCTTCGGTTTTGAGGGGTTCTTTGAGGCAATTTCTGACCAAATTGGCGCATATGGTAGAATAGGTTACGTAGGTCATTCCCGCTGCCCTCCAAAACGGCACCGCTCCTCCTCCTGCTGCGCTCGCCATCTCTTTCTCTCTCTCTATCTCTCTCCGTTAAGTGAGAAGTAACAAATAACAATTCTCTTCTCTCTTCCTACGCATCTATTATATCTACTATCGTCTCTGGGCTGGGCTCCAAATCCAGGCCTTCATTTCATTTCTCTTTTTTCCATTTTATTTTATTCTTTTCTTTGTGCTCTCAGGAGTGGGAGTTTATAAAAAAATAAATAAATGTGCTATTCATAAATTAGACTAAAAATTTTAAAATATTTTCAGTTTAATATTTAAATTTTATATTTTATTGAACTTAATTTGAATTAGTTTAGTCAGATTCGTTTTATTAACTGTATCTGTGTTCTTTCTTTATTTTTATTTTTTTTTTACATTTGCTTTGTAAGATTTATTATATATTTTCAAGCATATTTTTAACAATTAAATTTTTATTTTATAAATTAAGTATTATATGATAAAGTTTATGTATGGTTTAAACTTAACTATAAAAATTAATATTATTACTTTTATTTAATAATTAAGATAATTTATAAACATATAAAGTATGATCTCATGTATTTATCAGCTTCTTAAAATAGGAACTGATTAAAATATTTAATAAAAATATTAAAAATTAGAAAAAATATATTAATAGTATTTTTAAAAAATAAAATTTTCAGTTTTAATTTTTTAACTAATATTCTAAAAGTGCTTATTACTATTTATCTAAAAAAAATAAGAGAATTTATAGTTATTCATATCTCATACATAAAATTCAAAATGACCACTTTAAAATCTAAATTAAATTGTCGATATTGTAATATATATGTATATATATATATATATATATATATAATTAACTTTAATTCTTAAAATTAAATTTAAACACTTAAAAAATAATATGAATTTTTTTATTAAAAATGAAACATTTATCATATTTCTATAAATTTTATATAATAAATATATACTTTTTAGTAGAAACTTTGTCTCTAAATTTTAAAAGTCAACCATTAAAATTGATGTTAACAAACCTCCAATTGTAGTCCCCCAACTTATATATATTAAGTCTGCCATTTCAACATCCGACTTCAACACATGCTGTGCCCCCATTCCCCCCACCCATGCTACCCTTTCTCATCACCTAAGTTATATACACGAAAGCTGTGTTGGATAACTTCGCTTATAAACATTTATTTAATATTTTTAAAAATAATTAATTATATAATACTTTCAATGATAATTTTTAAAATAAATAAAAAATAATATATATTAATATAATATAAAAAGTTATTAACATAAGATATAAATTTGTAAATTATCCATATATTCTTCCAAACAAGTTCTTAATATATTATAAATTATTAGGTTAAATTAAAATTTTATTCTGTATATTTGATTTCTTTTATTTAGTTTCATATATAAAAAAAACTTATATCTTAATTTTTATATGAGTTTTTCAAGTTAATTTTTGTTATTTGTTGGTTTTATAACAATATTAGAGTTTTTGTTTATAGAGATTGAATTGAATAAATAATGTTAAGCGTGAGAAGTCAAATGTAAAGATTATTTAGTGTTCAAAATAAAGTATAAAATTGTTTTATATGAAAAATAAAACAAAAATATTATCATGCATGTGAATTAAGTCTAATAATGATAACGACCATTTTGAAAGTATTTTTTCATATAAGACTAAAATATAATTTTTTTTGTACATAACTATATAAAAAAAGAGCATTAAATGTAGAAATTAAATTTTTACTTTAACCTAAATATTAAAAGAGCTAATACTATTTTGTTACATTTATCTCTGCCGCTTTTATAAAATATCTATAATTCTAGACAATAAGATTTGGCTTGTAAACTTGTTTCACCTCTCTCTCTCTCTCTCTATATATATATATATATATATATATACACACACAATGTATTTAGTAAAGAATATAATTATATATAAGTATTAAAAGTTAATTTAAGTCATACAATTAATAATTAATTTTTAAAATCACATATTTTTGAAATTCTATAATTTATGTGTTTTAATTAATTATATTAATAATAAAAATTAATAATTAAAATTTTATTGGTACATTCCTACATAAAAGAACATTCTCATGTATCCTGCGAATTTATTTATTTATTTATATTAGAAACAACAAATATATACTACCTATGTTAACTTTCTATTAGTTATTGACGTAGGATTAATTACACTCAAATAATATTTTTGATTTAAATGCGATGAATAAAATTTAACTATTGTTGAAGCTGACTTTTTGAAATTTCGTACTACTTTAAATTCAAGTTAAATATAGAATTTATAGAAGTAAAATTAAAACTCTTTTGTAACTATAAATTTTTTTAACTTAAAGCTTAATTTTGAAGTTAATTTTTTAAACAGTGACTAATAAGTTAAACAGCCAATTGGTTACAACATTGAAGTTAAAGATACTTGCTATGATATCATAAAAGATATTTATAGATACTTTTTAATAAATTACTAACTCTACTGTTTGTTAATATAAAATTAAGAATAGTAATTATTTCACTTACGAAATATTCTCTTAATTAACGAAACAAAGTTGAGATTACTTAAGTTAAACAGGTGCATTAAATAATAAGTAAATGAGATTTCTTGAATAATGGTGGATGAATCCCATGACCCGCGGTGGTAGCGGAGAGTTAAACGAGTGATTGTTTGTTTTATGGTTTATAGCAGCAGTAACTTGTTCACTAATCATGGCCACATGGATTACGTATTCAACGAACGTGTGAAGAGTAGACTAATAACCCATATTGGTAATTTCAAATTCATCTCATCATCTCCAACTCCAATAAAGAAAGCAAGACAAACAACACAACCCCACACTCTCACTCTCACACTCTTATGCTTCTACACTGTTGTGCTTCTCTCTTAGCTTTCTTGCATTCAGACCAAAATATGGCTTCTATTGAGTTACTCGTAGGATTCTGAAGTGGTGGATCTGACACGACATAACTCGTATGAGTTTGTCACTCTTTCCTTCTAAAACCTCAAGCCCAAAATGGATTCTCAACTTTTTCAGTAATGGCTCACACTCGTGAGTGTTAGTGTTTTTGGAAACCACCCTTTTGTTTTTTCTGTTAGTTACAGTAACTAAACAAATGGCTCCAAGTCCAAGCATAGATTTTTCAAAGTTCTGGGTTAAGGACAGTTCAAGTTCAAGTTCAAGTTCAAGGAAAGGCAACCCTGTTGTGGTGACCATGGAGAACCCCAATTACTCTGTGCTGGAAATAGATGGCCCCGACTCTGCATTTCAACCAGTTGAAAAGGACAGAGGTAAAAATGCAAAGCAGTTCACATGGCTACTGCTTCTGAAAGCTCATAGAGTTGTCGGTTGCCTTGCTTGGCTTGGAAATTCTCTTTGCTCGTTGCTTCGTGCAGTTAAGAAAAGGTTGTTTTTTGGACAGGAAGTGTCTGTGGAGACTGAAATGTCTCCCAAGGCAAAGTTTCTGTTTAGACTAATTCTTACATTCTTGGTGATGGCTTTGGCATTTTTGTCATTTGAACTAGTTGCTCACTTCAAAGGGTGGCACTACTTTCACAACCATAATTTGCATATTCCACAAACTTTGGAGATCAAAGGATGGTTTCACACGGCTTATGTTAGGTGGTTGGAGTTCCGGGCAGGCTATATTGCACCCCCAATTCAATCTCTCTCCACCTTTTGTATCCTTCTCTTCTTAATTCAGTCTGTGGATCGGATGCTGCTTTCCTTTGGTTGCTTCTGGATCAAATTCAAAAAGGTTAAGCCTGTCATTGATGGGGATCCTCTCAACTCACATGATTTGGAAGGATCCAACGATGGCTATCCTATGGTGCTTGTTCAAATACCTATGTGCAATGAGAAAGAGGTGACACCCTTCTCTTAATCCCATGTACTTGCTACTTAGTACGCGCCGCTCTTTATTTATAAGGAAAAAGAAAAAGATTTGTCGGTGTGGTTTATTCAAAACCAATCAATCATCAAGTGGTTCCTTTCAACATGTTATGATGATGAATGTTATAATTCCCTTTGCCTCCTCCTTGTTTTTTCTTTTCTTGGTTTTATCTTAAACTATGCTATAGTTAATTATAATAATGTCCCTCTTTAATTATTTTATCTCAAAGGAAGTAGTAAGTAGAGTAGTAGTTCACTTAATGATGCCACTCGGACTACTGTTTTTATTTTATGGATTCTTCCCCATAATGATTATGGTGGCTTTGGTGATAATTGTAGGTATATGAACAATCTATTTCCGCTGTCTGCCAACTTGATTGGCCAAAAGATCGCTTGCTCATTCAAGTTCTAGATGATTCTGATGATGAGGGCATACAGTGGTTAATCAAGGGAGAAGTATCTAAGTGGAGTCAGAGAGGTGTCAATATCATCTACCGGCATAGGATGTTTAGAACTGGTTACAAAGCTGGAAATCTTAAGTCTGCAATGAGCTGTGATTATGTAAAAGATTATGAGTTTGTTGCAATTTTTGATGCTGATTTCCAACCAAATCGAGATTTTCTCAAGCATACTGTTCCACATTTTAAGGTGGCTATATTTTTTTGTTTCTTCCTTGTTATTCCATAATCTATCAATCAATTTCCCATTTTCATTCTTCAGTCTGCTTTGCAGGGCAATCCCCAGTTGGCCTTGGTTCAAGCTAGGTGGGCTTTTGTAAACAAGGATGAGAACTTACTGACACGCCTCCAAAATATTAATTTGTGCTTCCACTTTGAGGTTGAACAGCAGGTTAATGGGGTCTTCCTTAATTTCTTTGGTTTTAATGGAACTGCTGGTGTTTGGAGAATAAAAGCACTTGAAGAATCTGGTGGCTGGCTGGAGCGGACAACTGTAGAAGACATGGATATAGCAGTCCGGGCCCATCTGAATGGTTGGAAATTTATCTTTCTCAATGATGTAAAGGTAATCATTTTGTTTTGGTTTCAGTTGAAGCCAATGTGCTTAGTATCTTTTTTTTATTTGTGTGTAGGCAGCCTACAATAACAGTTTTACTGTATATTAATTTTGTAAGTTAGGATGGAATTGAATTGCATGAAGTAATTATCTGCAGACCACAGTAATTGGAAGAGTTTCACTAATTAATGAAATACCAAAGAAAACTGTTGATATGTTCAATTTAAGTAGCACTTAGTCTAAAGAGCACTTTTTCAGGTGCTTTGTGAGCTACCTGAATCATATGAAGCTTATAGGAAACAACAACACCGATGGCATTCTGGACCTATGCAACTATTTCGTTTGTGCCTTCCAGCCATCATAACATCCAAGGTAAATTATTTCTTTTTATTGTGTACTGCACTGTTTTGGAGGAGAGCTAAATCTGAACATGTTCAAATGTCATAATGTTGCAGATTGCATTCTGGAAGAAAGCAAATCTAATATTTCTATTCTTTCTGCTTAGAAAACTAATCCTCCCATTCTATTCTTTCACATTATTCTGCATCATTCTTCCTTTGACAATGTTTGTCCCCGAAGCTGAGCTTCCTATTTGGGTTATTTGCTACATTCCTGTGTTCATGTCATTCTTGAACATTCTTCCTGCCCCAAAATCCTTTCCCTTCCTTGTTCCTTACCTGCTGTTTGAGAACACAATGTCAGTAACCAAATTCAATGCTATGGTATCTGGTTTGTTCCAGTTGGGAAGTTCATATGAATGGATTGTTACCAAAAAAGCAGGACGATCATCTGAGCCTGACTTATTAGCTATCGAAGAACGGGATTCAAAGGCCATGAGTCTCCAACTTCACAGAGGGACTTCTGATGGTGGACTTTCTGACCTTAACAAATTAAAGGAATGCCAAGAAACTGGTCCTAGACCCCCTGTAAAGAAAATGAACAAGATATATAAGAAAGAGCTTGCCCTTGCATTCTTATTGCTGACTGCTGCAGTTAGGAGCCTGCTATCAGCACAAGGCATGCACTTTTACTACTTGTTATTTCAAGGTGTCTCATTCCTCCTTGTAGGTCTCGATTTAATTGGAGAACAGATGAACTAAGGATCAGAAAGGATGTGTAAAATAGAAAATTGATTGTTATAAAGTTCAATAATTAAAGAAACCAACCAATATGAATTGCTGCAAGACATTTGGTTTTTGCAGTCACATTCAAGGTGCCTGAATATGGCTCAGGTAAAATGCTGAAAGCTACCGTGGGTCATATCATGAATAAGTGTTATTCTTCAAGTGCATTTAGAAAATTTTCTGTTTTTTTTTTCCTCCCTTTACTACTTCATCGATTGTTTTACACCATAGTAGAATCATTTTTCCTTCCCTTTTCATTTTTCTGCAACGTTGAGCCGATTCATTTTATCTCAGCATCACGCTATCACCCTGTTTATAACGTCACGTTTGGCTCATATGTATCTATTGAATGACAGTGATATGTTACACCTCCCAACAAAAACCTGTTCACTTCATATTTAAAGGCTTATGTGTTTATGGATACAAATTTTCACTTACAAGGCCACTATTCAGAAAGCGTAGAAGCTTGCAATATTCATGCTATTATATTATGGCATGTTTTTCGTTTTTAATAATATAACTAAATTTTTGGAAAACAATTAAGAATGGTAAAAGAAAATAGTGTCGGCAGGGGTTAGAGATTAAGGAGAAAGAAAGCATTGGGTACTATACAGTACTACGGGGACAGAAAATTGGTTCATTAATATGAATTTTGGGCCTTGGATTTGCCCAACGATGAGAATCGTGCGAGTGTCCCACAATGGACCCATTTGTTTTAATTGGAGCTTTAAGCATAACCAAGGATATTTTAGGGCACATGCTGCCCATGCCAATCGCTATTTCAATAATGGTAGGCGCATATGAACACATTATACATACCTCTCAAGCAAGGCTTGTGGACCCTGCTGCCTCAACAAAGCATTTTCTTTTCTGCTTTTGAATTACCCAACTCCTCAAACCATCATAGCAGATATACACTTTTTTTGGCACATTACTAAGAAATTATGGTCAAAATTTTACACGAATTTAAAAGGGTCAATCTTTCCTCTCTATACAATTTTAAATTGTCCCACAGGTTTACATGATCTACCCACTTTACCAACTAACAATGAGTAAACTTTTACTTTTATGGAGAGACATAACAAGTAAATTTCAAATTTTCATAATGCCATTTCATCTTACTCCTATTTTGAATGTAAAATACATATATTCACACCCCAACTCCCTTCCTATTTTTCTTTTCAAGAGCAAAAACAAAATTAGAAAACCCTATTAAATAAGTTATTGTCACACCATTTTTTTTTCAAATAAAAGAATCCTTTATCTCAGTTCAATGATTTGCATTTTTTTTGTCTCTTCTACATTTTTCGATTTGGTAAGTGTAAGTATGATCTACTGTCAGGTGAAGGTGTATCCTATCCTGATTCCTGAAGGCTGAGGTGAGAAGATCCAGCTGTCAGATAAAGCATTTGCCTTAAAACTCTCTCTCTGAAGTCATTCTGATCAAAGTGTGTATAAATGTACCTTGCCTTTGGCCTTAAACAGTTCTTTCATGCCATATAGGTCATAGGAAACCAGTGTAAGATGTTTCTAGACAGTACAAATAAACTACAAGTTAATTACGTGTATCTTTCTGTTTTGTGCCGTTAACTGCGTTCACCTTTCTCGTGTGAATCGCAATTGGCGCTCAAAGCATACCTTAGTAGAGAGAAAGAAAGAGAAGGGTCAAATATCAATGCATGTGTGCTTCATTCAACTTCAACCTAATTGTTGTGAAGTGCAAAACTCAACCTTTGAGAAGAGTGGACATGAAAACAGTTACCCTATACTAACAAAGTATTCCTCAAAATATTTATTCTTCACATATGCTAATGAAAATTACAAGCTTTTTGGTTTATGTAGTGCTCGGTATTGGAGCTATAATAATTTATTAGCATATAACAATACCAAAACAAAGTTGATAGAGAAAGCTTAAATCTAGAAAGAAAATGAGTTTAAGAAAGTTGTCTTTTTGTGACTGAGGATTCAGTGGAACAGTCAACCATAGTGTCATACCAAACGATCCTTGGACGTTACTGGGTGAAGCTGCCATAATCGTGCAATTCTTTGGATCCTTCTTTAAAGGTGACACTACCCTTGAGTATTGACCCGTATTGCCAAAAGCAGGGTCCCTTTCCCTCCAACTTCAAGTATAACATATACCATTATCACTCAAATGCTCCGTGCAAGGTAAAAAGACATCTCACCAATATACTCCGTATGTTTGTGTTTTAGGTTCATGTGAATCACGTTCCACTTTTGAGGCTTTTTAATGCAAATTTTAATGCTGTTACAAGTCATCTCTCGGCTAAGATTATAATTCATACACTATTTTAACAAAAATATTAATAACACTGCTTATTGCTTATTATGGATTAATTAACCGATTCAATGTAAATGGCAAAAACTGAACTAAAAACTAAATTAACCAAAAATTGAATAAATTCAAAATCGAAAAAATAAAAATATTTTTATTAAATTAGATTGCACTTTGAATCTTATTTTAAAATTGTTCCAATACTAAATTTATATCTACATATATAATTTTATTTATATAATTAACATCTCGTTCATACTTTAAAGACTGTATATTAATAAAATTATAATTCTTAGCTATATTTCATGATTTTATTTGTAAATTTATATCATAACATTAATTCTTAGAGATAAATGTAATTATTTTCATTATTATTATTATTATTATTATTATTATTATTATATATAGAATAATTTAAAGTTATTCTTGGATATGTTTTAATATATAAATTTTATATTTTATATAAAATAATTAACTTTATTTAAAATTTGTGGAAAAATGATAAAATAATTATTTATTATTTTTTAAATAAATTAAAAATTTATAAAAATAAAAATTTTCAATCAAATCCAATCCGACCAAATTGATTTTGATTGGATTACTTTTTTATTTCAAACTGATACCAACCAAACTGCATTATAATTTTATGTCTAGAAGAGAGGACTTTTTGTTTAAAAACAAATCTAATCAAATCCATGAACCCTCGTATACTTATCATAACAAAATAGCTTTATTTAACCAGAAGAGTTGAAATACCAATACATAAAAATGTTATCCGAAAAATATTAATATTTTCGTGATTTTATAAAGTGACGTGTATTTTAAAACAATTCGAGATTTTTAAAGTGTTAGATAATTTGAAATAGAAGAATATTAGTCAATTTCAATTTTAGGCTTGAAGGCAACATAAACATAAATATTTGTATTGTAGCTTGTCACTACAGAGTTACTGTTGAGGAAAAGGAAATGCTAATTGGTCCTACTCGACATCACATGTGAGGTTGAACTATACTACGATGTTACAGAAAGAAAACAGTACTACGGAGTGTTCAATCTTCTTTTAGAATTCAACGTAAATATTTAATCTCTATAAAGTACAAACTATCTAAATTTGAAAGAGGATATTAAACATTACTTTGCAGAGAATGTAGCATTCACATAACATCACATCTAATGTGGCATCAATATGTGCACAACTGTTAACAAAAAAGTGTTTTATCCAAGGGAGGACTAACTACTTTCTTCACAGATCTTCTGGTAATGATGTATAATCCTTCACCATTAAAATCTCTCTGCATAACTTTCGTGGGACTTGCTCTAACTTTGTTCCCTCTTGCCATGCTTGCCCTACAGCAACCCCAGGTGCTAGAAAGCGAACATACATAACAATTTGATCGTTGAAAGGATAGGGATGTTTAACTGCAAAAACAAAGAACAATTAAATATTAAATAAAATTGGGGCATGCCAGGACTTTGAACAATGACATGACCAGCCAGCTTGCTCTCTAAGGTGTTACAGGAATAACCTACGAAAGGGGTACAATTTAACTAGAGAAGGGTCACCAAGAAAATAATGCCACAACAATACACCATGCAGACATCAACTGAATTTTAACATCTAAAATGTCAACACAATTCTTAAAAATTTAATACATCATTGGCTTGAAAAACATGATGGAGACTTCACAACCTAGGTGAATATACAATTACACGAATATAGCAATAAGCATGCCCATATTTTTTATGTGGACTAGTGTAATTTATAAATACTTAAATCGGTACAAAATTTGAACTTGCAGTCGTAAATCGCTGTATGATAGAAATAAAACAGCACCTACATTTATTATACCAAAAAGAAACCTACCTGGTCTTGGAAAGCCTAATGGAAGTTCTTTGATGTCATGTAGTCCATCGCCGAATTCATATGCTAAATCACATGGCTGCTCAGTTGACATCACCTCCTTAAGTTGTCTCACCGTAAAATACAAAGGAGTGAAGGAGTCAGTAAATGCAGCCAAAACTGGTCCATCTGGGTGGTTGTGAAATTCATAAAATATGTTAACAATGTTCATAGTAAGGAACACTCAAATTTAAGCTAGAAACAGTGAATCACAAAGCAGCCCAAGAAAAAAAGGCCAACCAGCACAAAGGAATTTGCCAAAGATCATTGATTAAACCACAATGCATCAACATATTGAAGGAAAACCAGCAAGATTATACAACCTCTTCAATCTTCTTCTATTGTTCTAACTGATTATTGAAGCATTAGAAATTAAACCAGGATTTAATGAATTTAAAAGCAACCACTAGACAAGTAAAGGCATAAAGCTAACAATGATAATGTATGTTATTTGACTTTCTATTTTCAGACAATCATACATAAACTTATTTTCTCACCTTAGCGTTAGGAAAAGGGAGTACAAGTTCAACATTTTAGAGCACTTTCAAGTCTTGTAAGCAAGAAAAAGAAGTTTCTTTCACTTCTTTCCTTCTGTATGTGTGTGCGAGTGACTGAATGTATTGTGCATCTAAAAATGACTATTCTTCATCATAATATAAATATAATAGTCTCTCCAAAGTATTAGCAAACTAGTGATTACAGGCTTGAGTTGTCACAATATTATCTTCTTTTATTTTTCTGGCAAGAATAACTGAATGGTCATCCCACAATATTGCAGGAACTTGAAAAGGTATATGGTAGAATTTGAGTCAGGCAAATATACAGTTACCTTTTTTTACTACATGATGTTGCATGTAATTGCACATGAAAGTGACATTCACGATCATGCTAACAATACAACTTGGAGATATAAGGAGCAATGGTGTTTAAGATTGATGGCCATACTTTACTAAAATGAGTAATTATGTAAAGAAATCCATGCATTTCTCTGCCAAAAGTTAAGAAACTTACAGATGATTCGTCCATAGGCCTGCCCATCCTTGCAGGAAAAAATAGCCTTAAAAAGTAGCAAAAGAGTCAGCCACAATTTTCAAATTACTGTACAGGAACAAAAAAGCAAAAAGCAAATGGTGAATTTACCTTTCTGAAGGAATTTATCCACGAAATTGGCATCGTTCCTATTAACAAAGTTCAATGTTGACATCGTTAGTTTTCAAAATTTAAGATGTGCTAAAAATGAAAGGCAAATACACATGAAACTATGACAAAAAATTTCAATACAGCACACATAGAGCTACACACTGCACACCAGCAGAAGTATTGGAAGATGAAGCTCCTATCAAATAAGACAGATCAAATTTGCAGGGACTGAAATATTTCCTAACTCAAAATCTTAATTCTTAGGCATATAACGGGCTCATGTCATAAGCAAGAAAAGGGAGGACATTTTGACCGCTCCGATTCAATTTTGCATAGTATTAGATAAATCACCGGTCCTCCTTTCATGTGGACTTCCTTTTGGTATTTCCTCCATTACCGTTATGCTTGACGTGAGAACCAATTGCGTAGCAAGAAACACAATGCACTCATTGTATTTAACTTAACCGTGACTACTACGAACAACAATAATGAATCACTTCACTAACCTCCACTAGTTCTGCAGTTGTAATATTCAAGCATCACATCATCCTTGTTGGAGTTGGAGAGCAACGTAGATGCACTTTTCTTTACTAACTTAGGATCCTCATATCGCGTACCAGCTATCTGCCAAGCCATTGATACAAGTCTGCACAAAGATATCAACATTCCCACCGTTAGATAAGAAAGAAAAATAAACATTGAATACAAGCAATTGAAAAAAGAAAAGACCTTGGTTTTAGCAATAGCAGCAATCGATGACGCCTTTCCTCAGGAATATCTTCAATTTTTTTCCTGAACACAGAGGTGAAGAGAGTGAGTGAGTGTGAGAGAGAGATAAGAAGAAGTGGCAGTGTTACTTACCAAAGGTATGCAGCGGGATTATAAGAAGAAGGGTCCAAAGGGATCAACTCCTTAGGAGGATCAAGAAACGTCACTACATCTTGTTCATCCAAGTAAACCTTTTTACCATTTGGAAGCATTTCAAAGGGCTTATCATCCCAAGGTGACACTGACACGTACCATTGATTGCTTCGAGAGACAGCACCGCAACTAGACTCCACAGCCCCATTTCTGTACAATCCCAAACCTACAAAAAAGAACCCAACTTGGGGTAATGAATTCAATTGAAGCACCATTTTTGAGTTCGGGTCAACTCGCTCCCTCACTTACCTCTCAGATTTGGAAACGGTGGATTCATTCGACGGGAAAAGGAGGAAGCGGTTACACGGCGATGGTGCATCTCAATCTGCATGTGCTGCCGCCACCATATCGGTGGTGATGCCGTTGTCGTCGCTGCTGCGATCATCGTAGTCGCAGTTGCAGAGCAGCGAGACTAGTCAAAACTTTGAAACTCAAAACGGTGTAGTTTGTGAGGAGTGGATAATTAAAAACGCAGCGTAGGGGCATGTCGTTTACTCATTTAAAAGAAAATAAAAAACAAAACGACACATTGTGGCGGAGCGTTGCGTATCTGTTAATCAAGTTCTTATCCTTTTACTTTGATTTACTTGAGCAATGAGAATGGTCATTGGCGGTGTGATCTGAAACTGAAGAAATGCTTCTTCAAACGAGGCAAATTGGGGCTGCGGATGCATGTCCATGGATCACAGTGACACCCACAAAGAAAAGGAACGGTAAACAGTGTTCTTCATTGAGAATTGGGAGTCCAAAATGCTCAGTATCAACCCAATTGGAATTGAAGAGTGACAACAATACGATGACAAAGCCGTATCCAGCAGAGGTTTCGAGGACCATAATGGAGTTGGCACGTGTGGGCACGCTTTCCACGTTGACCCAGGAGGCTTTGCCTCTGGGTATTGGGGTTCGTTTCGGCGTTGACCCTGAACATGGCACTCCCTTCTTCTGCTTCAATCCCTCTAATCCTTCCAACATTCCCTCGTCCCTCCACGTTCAGGTGTGTGTGTGTGTGTGTGTGGTCAAAATTGGGAATTTGCATTCAAAGGATTCATTTGTTCTTCTGTTTCTTTTAATCAGTTTGAACAGTGTGGATTGCGCACTCCTCAATGCACTATTCAAGGAACCCTTACCAAACCACAGGATCCAAAGGTGAGTAAGTAAGCAAAGGACTTAAGCTTTCAATTTTGTATTTTGTTGTATGTTTTATTAATCAAATGTCATCATATGTATGTAGCGGTTTGTTGCTGTGTGGAGGAAGAGATTTGGAGAAGAGGTTGATCAAGATTTTATTTACATTATTGCCATTGATCGGGTGCTGCAATTGGAAAACTTTCAGGAGGTAGGAATAGGTACTGAAATATTAACCTAACCCAACCATGCAAGTTTGCTACTTTTTATAACTACGGCAATGATGTGTTGCAGGATGGTGTATGGGTCTCTTCTTTAGATTACAAAAATGCACAACCTGATCCTCTTCGAGACTTTGCGGACAATTTAGTCTCTGAAATCAACACCAACAATATGGAAGACATTACTCGCTTTTGCAATGTGTTTGTTGATTTGGATTTCCTGGTTTGTGCCTAACACTATCTGTGTCTTTTATATATTGTTCCTGTTCTGATTGTAGATACATGAAAGGGACCTAAATGACATTGCTAAGGTGTTAACTTTTGAACGTATTTAATTTGCTGTGGAAGGTTTCGGAAGCAAAGATGATATGGGTTGATCGCTTGGGCTTTGATATGCGTTTGTCTTGCCCTGAAAAAGGTGTGTTTGATGTTCGCATTCCTTTCCCTAGAGAAGTGACGGATGAAAAAGGTGCCAAGTCCACATTTAATTGTATGTCACAAATGGCTTGGGAGATTGAAAGAAACTTCCAGCATCCTGACTTTCCCAAGGTTAAACATTTGAAGACCGTAAAGTCATCCTTTCTGTACCCATTCTGAATTTCTTAGTTAAACATCCATCCTTGGTATGCTTTGTAATTTTTCAAAGAATATGACCATGTCTGTTGTGTTTGTATTCCCTCATGATCCCTTAGAGGCTTCATGTTGAGATCATCGTCGATACTAGACTTCATTTAGTTTTGCAACGCAAGTTTTGACTCGTGTTGTCCGTTGCGGCCTCCAGGATATTTAATTTTATTTGAATTATAAAAAACTAGTGAGTTAGTAGAAGAATGCAATGCTGTTACTGGAAAATCTGTTTTCCGATATCTTTTCTATAATGAAAAAGAAATTACATTATGCAATATACGTTAGAAGGGAATAAAATGACATTTATCTATATAATTCCTCTAGAGGTGTGTATTCATTTTAGTAAATACATGTTTTCCTTTTTTAAAATGCGACAATGAAATTTGAAAAGCTAAAATGAGACTGCGGGGGGATTTTTAATTTCTTTTTAATGATTGTGTAACAATGATAGCACATAATAAATTTACCAAAGTGAAAACATTTTTAATTCAAGCAGTATCAGTGATAGCATACAAGTAACAGTGAAGGCCTACTTGCTAAGTAACAATTTGTTCGTCACACAAGTACAAAGACAATTATATAGCAGCTAGAGTGAAGCGAAATTGATGGCTCACTTTTTTTATTTTACTAATAAAGTCTGCCTGTTTAATGCTACTATCCTTCCTCTGCTTGGGCTGAAACATTGATTTAATCTTGTTCTCTAAACTCTGCGTTGTATATTTAATATGCTTGTCAGCCTTAGCATCACTTTCAGTTAACAAACTGTAATTCTTCACGTAGGCCTTATAGATTGGTAGAATACCTTCCGCCAAATGCTTGCATACATTTTCCCTCAAGATCTCATCGGAGATCACCCAACTTGATTGCTTCTTGCACCTTTCATCAAAAGCTAGATTGAAAGCATTGAGTCTCTTAACCAAATCTTGGCTAGTCACACTTGCACTTGAGGATGAAAGCAAGTCCTTTTGAATTACAAGAATAGTTAGAAGCTTTCCCCAGCTATTCCTCAAATAAAGTGCTACATAATAGTCCTTATATTGTTCGTGGGCTTTTAACCAAGAATCTCCCATCATATTTCCAAGCACAGTCCCCCTCAAACTGTAGAAATGACAGTGATTATTCATCATAAAAAGGTAGGACAGAGTGATATCTTCATAGGCCTTTGACCAAGCATCCAAATTTACTGCAACCTCCTTAATTGCATTATATATTTTGCTTAAAACAATACCCTCTTCGTACACTTCCTTTCTCCAGCTAAGATGTATTTTCAAAACCTGTGTCAAATGTGGCCCATAGGCATCTCCAAGCAGCTGATTGCAGTAATCAGTAACAAAGTTTACCAGCCGGGGAACGCCGCCATCAGGGGGAGGAGAAGTTGGCCTTTGCAACTTCACTTGTGCTGGAAGTTGCCAGAATATCTCACTGGCACCATTAACAACTTTGTTGATAAGATCCTTTGTCACAGTTCTAATTTCTTCACAAGCTTTCCCACTGAAAAGCTGGTTGAATTTTAGTCTTAGACCATTTAAGACCCTGAATATGGACAGCAGGTTCAACAACTTGAAGGGGTCATTTTTCCTCTCAGTAACAATCCTTCCAAATTGTATAAAAGAAAGAATTCCTGATTCAACGGCTATCTTTGCAAAACATCCCATCCATGCTTCTGGACCAATTTTCCCAAAGACATTATTTGAGAGCCTGTACTCAACCTCAAGCAGTTGCTGCACAACCAACTCCAAATGGCTGCCCCATTGGTCTATGTAACTCTCCATACACTGTACATTCTCAAATCCAGCAGTTGGAATCTCAAGGTAACTCAAATCCAAAGTCTTCAAACTTCGACGAGCATTCGTACCTCGAACTTCAACATATATAGATTCACACTTGTCGAGCCTGTCATTGGCACTTAATCTCTCAATGATGGCCTGTAATCTCCCTGCTGAAGAACCATTCATTAGAAAAGTTTGTTTGGCAATGCTGGCTTGCTGACCAATGTGTGATGTTAATGAAACCAAAGGGAGAGGCATCGAGTTTGCCATCAAAAGCCTGTGGAACTCAATCTCTAGTTTGTCAAAGGCAGTACTAAGAAAGCCTCCATGAAGCCGAGCACGTACCTCCATGACCTGCAATTCTTGCAATATTTTCAAAGATTTATTCACATTCAACAGGTAAAGCTCATTGGTGATTGCTTTGTCTTGTAAGAACTCAAAAACGCCGTGCAACCAGCCCACTGCTAATCTGCAATTATCAGTGAGAAGCTTCAGTGCTTCCTCAAGCTTCTTTGTGTCTGAGACATACGTGTATAGATCAGAACTGGGGTCTGTCAAGAGAGAATGCTCCAATTGATGAACAGAGTCAAAAACCTTGAGGGCTGCAGCAGCAGAACATAGAACACTGTCTATGCTTTGACCAATGTTGACCAAAAAACACTTTTGCATTGAGATGGGTCTAAGTGAAGCTTGCAAGGACAGACATCTCTGTTTAAGTAGCTCCAATCTTGAGCCAGACTCTTCTAATGCAGAGCCAATAACGCTTGATGTTTCCAAGCTAGTTGACAAGCACTTTCTAGCGGCTTCAAGATTCCCCTGGCTTTCCATATCAATGGCAAATCAAGTACTAACGCAAAATGATTACTAGTTTGGCTTTTAGATTGCATTCAGATTATTCAGTTTGGTCTAATGATGAAGATAATCTTTGTTGGATTCTTGTGTATCGCCCCACTCAATTCCTTTCACCAAACTCAACAAACAAAGTAAAAAAGGAGGTAACTTCACTTGCAATACAAACATACAAGAAACCTCAACCACCAAGCAGTAGAGCTTCCTTGAATAGGCATACCATTTGCCCAACTAATTTCCCGAGCCATTATTTATTTATCATCTTGTAATAGTCACTCCTAGCTTTATTGTTTAATTTGAAGACAGAGACCTGCTAGTCTTGCTTCAATTACCTCAACAATCTCCCAACCACATATATCGAAATTATCATTTTCGACTAAAGCTGTTAAAATAGGTTAAATTTAGGATGTACTAACCCACTTATTTTATAAAATAAGTAATAATTATTATATTATTTATTAAATTATTTTATTTAAATGAATCAAAAATTATATTTAAAATATAAAAATAATTTTAAAAATAAAAAAATATTTATTCGATTTTATCATAAAATAATATTAAATATAATTATATTATAAAATTAAATTAAATTTAGCTTTTGTATTTATTTATTTTTATTAATTAAATTTAATATAATACGTTAATAATTTATGATTTTAATTAAAAATAAGTACTAAATATTTTTAACTAAACAATAATTAAATGATAAAATAATATTTTATAAAATACTAATCAATAATTATTTTAATAAATTTAATCAGTTCTAGTATGTTTAAATATTTTTTAATGACTTTTAATAATTATAGATTTATTATAGTTTAAGTTCATACATGGTATAATTATTTTTAATATAAATATAAATATATAGAATCTTAAATGATTAATTTAATAATTATATAATCTTAAATGATTAATTTTAATAAATTTTATATAGACGGTATAGATAGATTTTTATTATTAAAAAAATATAGTGATTAATATACACTTAAAATTTAATAATTAGTAAATATTTATATAAATCAATATATAAATAAAAAATTAAATTATTAGTTAATTTATCAATTTATATATAATATATAAGTATGTGTTTTAATTTATCGTATACATACTATTTTTTTATTACATTAATGCTATGATGTAGTTAATTTTACGTATATTTATGAGTTTAAAATAATAAATAATGTATAAAAATTAAATATTATATATATTGTATTTAGTTTAAAATTTTATATTAATTTTTATCACAAATTTTTTATTAAGATAAAAATTTAGAAACACAAGTTATTTTAATTTAAATAATATTTTTATTAAATAAGATGAGTCAAATTTTAAATTTGTAAATATTCATTAATTCTTACTATGTTTATATGTTACTTCTGTGCATTTATAAATTTTATAATGTAAAATATTTTACATCTACAATTTTTACAATAAAATATTTATTTATTTATTTATTTTAACATATTAACTTTCATTCACTAGATTTAACAAATTTTGTGAGTGTTATTTTTTTTTCCTCAATTTTATATGTTTATTGTGACTTTATTTATTGAATACAAAATATTTTTACATAAATAAAATATGATCTTAAAATATATATATATATATATATATATAATATTTTTAATAATTTTATGAAAATAAATCAAGAAAATAATAATATAAAAAATTTATATGAAAATTAATTTTAATAGAATGTAAATTTAATTTTTGGTAGAAATTTAGAGGGATTTGAAGAAAAGAAAAAATGCCAGGAAATTTACAAAATAGAAAATAGGATAAATGATTTTATTTTTGAGAAGGAAATTCATTCCATTCAATTGCGAGTAGTTGTTCTCTCCGAAAACGGAATTAAAATAAAGAATATGTTAATCGTGGACACATAAGTTGTTATTTTACACATACACTTTGATCAACTAAAGACAAGTGTCATAGCTTATGAATTATGTCCATAGAGTGATGCGAATTTAAAGTTCGAACTCTTGCTCGTACCTAGAGTGATCAAGGACGCAGTGTCCAAATAACTAATGATATACGAAAAAAAGGCACACAAACTTCAAATTATTCGCGTGATAACTACTCCCTCCCATTCTTTTAATAAGAAAAAGAAAGACTAGATCACCAGACCAAAAACAAATTAAATCAATTATATTTTTTATAAATATAAATTTTATTCTAAAAATATCTATAATATTAAATAATATAATTGATAATTTATATATTTAATGACACTAAAAAAAATTATATATAAAAAATTTAACAATTAATACATTTTAAATCTATTATTTATTTTTTATAATAAAAATTAAAAAAATACTTTATTTTGTTTGTTATAAAAAGTAACGGAGGGAATCCCATTTATCATTAATGATTATTATCCAAAGACATGCGAACGTATATATGCAAGGCCAGCCAGAACAAATAGTCATTTGATTGATTCTCATATCAATATATGGTGTCCGCCCCCATGTGTAGAAACATAAAAGATGGGTAATAAGGATTTTTCGTAAGTAATATCCAAGGAAAGAATACAAACAAAATTGAACTTCAAAAGGGGAATAAAAAATTAATACTAACAAGTCGGCTGCAACCAAAAGCCACAAGAATTTGAAGCCATAACCAAGCTTGAAGTTAGCCGACACCAGAAGCTACACAAAGTTGATAAGACATACAAGCAGAGAAGCATCAGAGAAAACGCGGCATTTGCTCCTATCAAGCGGTTCCCTTCTGTTTCAAAGTTATCTTATCCCCAAGACTGAGAGCAATTCCCTGAGTTTTACTTCTTATTCTGATGTATCCACTCAACTTACCATCTGCTTGCTTTTCAATGCTCACATTCACCAAGGCATCTTCCCCAAACACACTCTTAGCATAAAGGTTTGCGGCTAGGAAACCACAATCACCTTCCAATGCCGATCTAACAAGAGACAATGAAAACCAAAAAAGAAGTCATGCAACATAACAAAAATGAAGAATAGATAAGCATTTGAAAAAAAAAAATATGTTTAGCTCAACTGTTTATGCAATTCAACTAACTATCAATTACCACACATGCTCTTTGGATAAGATATAACTTATTTACGAATTTTTTTTAAAGAAAAAACTTGTTTTAAATATTTTTAGACATGCTTTATAATTAAAAAAATACTTTTCTTAGAAAAGTAAAAACAAACAGGTCTTTAAATCTAGGCAGTAGGTGCTCAGGAATACACACAATAACTGTCAGTGTGTCTGCATGTCAAGGTGTGTTACAGAGTACCTTTCATGAATAAAAGCAGTGCCTACAACAGGAACTGAGCAGCGTTAGAGAACTTACGGTGGAGTCAAGCACTTCATATTTGTAGACTTGATAATGTGGTTCAGGAACTCCCTCTCATCTTGCAATACTGTATTTACAGCAACCTAAAGCATAATATAAATTTTAATGAAAGGATACACATATCACTATCATATGTGTGCTTGAGATAACGCACAAATGTGTCAACTTGGGCATTACATATCTTGAAACATGTATGATATGGGAACAAAAAGGAAAGGTCAAACACTCATCAGAGACAATAATATAATTACTAGGATGTTACATTTCAGCACAATGACAAGATAATGGATCAAAACTATAAATTTTTACAAACTATCAAAATTCTTCACCAATAGCCTACACCAAAGGGCTTAATCAATTAGCATGCTTCCTTAGTAAGTATCATATTATTGTCAAGGTAGTAAGCCAGTATAACACGTTCAACATCAAACTTCAACATAACTACAGAAACATTAACAATAAACATGAAAAGTAATATGAACTTCGCCAAAATAGCACTATCTCAACCAGCAAGATACCATCACCGATGCATATATCATGGACTGAATTCTGTTAGGAAACAAGTTCAAATCATAACTTTATGAGCATACCCCATAAAAACACCAGGAGCTCATTATAAAAGCACACCATGAGTCTAAAATATAAAGCAGCTACATTTTTTTCACATAATCTTCTTTAATGAAAGTGGGTTGAAATAGGTAATATAAGGTAGCATTATAATTGTTTTATCCCTTGGTCAAAAATACCCAATGAGAGAAAGAGGAAAGAGATTTACCTTGTTTTCCCACTCAAATTCTGCCCACATGGTTCTGAATGCCACATCAGCACAAGATGCAGGAGAAATGTAGTCCATGATATCAATATGGATATCATTTAGCACAATAACTGTTCTCTGAAGAATATTTGAAGATGTTTCATAGACTATGTTACCAAATATAACCCCTGTTTCAGTTGAAGAAACCTTAATGTTGGCCTTAATCTGTTTGCTTGATTCTGGAGCCAGGGTATAATTTTGTGGACGCTCAACAAGTTTGAGATCACCCATGGTTGCTAATTCCAAACACAAATTTTGGAGAGTTTCCTTGGTTCGGTTGATGACGGTGACATCAAGGACAATGTCATAGTGATGCACAGTCACATATGCTTCAGCATAAACCGGATCACTGAATCCAGTGAGCTGAAGAATGCGATTGAGCTTATTTGCATCATCTGCATCCTTCGTAAACTCTCCAGTAGCACGTTTAAGATCGTCTTGAACCTCATCTTCCAGCTCAAGTTGGCTCATGCCCTGAAGAATTAAAAGAATACACAGATTGAACGTTACATGAAAAATCAGAAAAGCTAGTGCATTGAGCACATTAACAGATGCTGCTATAAGATCCATTGAACCATAAGCCACTTGAAGGAATCACACTCAAGTGACGTGAGCCAATTTAACAACATAAATTTGGCAATGCATTTTGTCACAACTTAATATCAGCATAAATACAACATAGTTCACAGCATGCAAAATGAAAAACTCGAGAAAATAATCAAACAGTCATTCAGTTGCATCCTTCTTATTAAGAGAGTAAATAAATACAGTTATCATACCTTCCTGCTCTTCAAATGGTAAAAATCAATAAGATCATCAGGCTGTGCATTAGATATTTGAGCCTTTGCTTTAATCTCTTCAGTCTCACGACGCTGCTTATCGGCAAGCATTTTCACAAAGCTCTGTCTGCAAGATTGCAGCCATATCTTCCTTATCTCATCACCCGTGTTGCACAGCAATCTAATGCAGAGGACAACCCTATCATGAGAATCATTATCAATTGGATGTGGAAGAATTGAAGACTGTCCCAGCTGCAGCATTGAGACTATAATCAACAAAGCTTGCGTAGTTGCTTTGTTAACTTCGACTTTTGAAGTCTGGACCTCTTCCAACCTTAAGACAAGTTTTGTGAGTGTACACGCAACTACTGCCCCAAGAAAGAAATCACCGGAAAGAATCAGTGATCTCAAGTTACCAGTAGAAGAAAGAGACCCCTGTACAAGGGTAGGTGGTGACATGGCA